GACGACGGATACCTTGGACGCGCAAATTGAGGGTCTCGCAACCATAAAGCAGAACTGACCACACACTGGCGCAGTATACACGACCTTTCAGATTCAACGAAGCATCACGTCTGCACTAAAGGTGTTTCAGTCCTGCGTAATCTGCTCGAGCCTTGGAAATGAGGGCGGTTACATCACTGACTATGCTACCGTCATTTGTAACGCAGCTACCCAAGTAGGTGAAACATTCCAATACAGCTAGTTCTTGACCATAAAACATCAGCGCTGGGGTAGACGACACCCAGTCTTGTAGCATCACTTTGCNGCATGCCGAAAGGAGATACAGAACTTGCTGGTCTGTCAAGAGCGCCTTGCGCATCCTCCATAGATTCGAACAGGCATACGATGTCATCAGCGTACTCTAAATCGCACAGCTTTTCTCTAGCTGCCCATTCAATGCTTATGTTTTGGAGACCACTGAGTGCGTTCTCCAATATTTCGTCTACGACGAAATTGAACAGGAATGGCGAAAAAGGGTACCCTTGAAGAACATCGCTTCTGGTTTCGAGTTACTTAGCCCACCGTAGATCCTTAGACTACCAGAAGTATGTAGCTACAGCGACCGCTCATCAGGTCCCGCAGGATTCCCTTTTTTAATGATTGAGTGCAGCTTCGTACTTCCAATTCCGATGGGGGGACACATGTTACCACCCATGGGGTTTATCTCACTTTACTGCGGCTGGCTCCTCTGGCAGGGTGAGCCGGTTCCAGACATCATGAAGTTACTTGGGAGTTTGGTACGATAGACGTCCCCAGCGTCACTCGGCGTTTTTTCTATTTGAGGGGGCACCTCTAGCCTTTGTAAAGCCAAGTGTGAACTACAAGGCAGCGTGAAGTAATGCCTCGCCTCGGAAGTGAGGGGGTCAATGATTTTAGTTTTAAAAGACCAGTCACATTGACCTTTGTCACCACACCGTCACCGGGCTTATGCGACTGTTAAACAGGAACCAGGTGACAAGCTTGAACCGCACCACACCCTGGTAGTGCCGCCCCTGTTTATTCGCGACTGCTTATTTGTTGCGGTATGCGACAACTAATTCATAGCTAACCTTCTTCGGTGAAGGTATTGCCAGTGGGTTTTCCGCCTCAATAGATGGAATGACCGCATTAGCACTGGGCCAATTGAACTGTTCACTAAAATACTCAGCCTAGCGATCAAGTCGTTCTTCTTTATTGTGGATACTCTGTCCACTTGTACCGCAAAAGGTTTCACTAACCGGCATGCGACGACCTACGGTGCTGCGTATCAAGTGAAAGTCTTTGATTCTTCCCTGATACAGAAGCTACCTAGATTTCACTAGCTATTGTGGCCCACCAAATTTTGCGATCTTCCTGAAGGCTTTTCCTGAGTTTATGTTGTACGCACCGCCGGTCCCTATGTTGATCCTGGCAGATTGAGATCTTTCGCTTTTGATTAATCAGGACTACTGAATCCTTGGAGATTCAATGTCTTCGGCGAACTTCAGGCTCGGTCACACAAGGAAAGTTTGCCACGGAGTGCATCGCAAATCTAATTTGGTCCCGCTATTATTCTATTCCACTACGTGGCGGTTCTCCTAGCTCCTGCCTAGCTTCTCCTCATAACGTGCGCAGACAGATGATGAGCTAACTGAGGCGGCGATTTCTGCCGTTGACCGATGAACCAAAGAGTGCAGCGTAACAGAACTAGTGCACGATCCGACTCAACNAAAACACTACGTAGCCGTTCGACGAGAGCTGCATCGAAAGTTAATGCTACATAAGAACAACCGATGATCCGCGCAGAACTGAAGTCGATTACCGTTGTCTGTTCGCTCAGCGGGAAGAGTGAAATGTCCTCCTAGACAGGCTTCGGATGCGCTTAGCTTTCCAACCTGTGCTTCAAAATCTGCACTTTATTTACAGGAAACCTATTTAGTGCTTTTTGGTAACGACCTTTGGCGAGTGACTACCAAATTATCTGAGGGAATGTTAGGGGTTGGAAAAAGGGGTAAAGGGTGAGGGTTGAGTACGGAAGATAGAGTTAAACAAAGGTTGGGATATATGAGCAGTAGTCCATTTATCACTACCCACCCAGCTCCATGCAATGGGCAGCGCTGTCCTGATTATCCTGCGCGACGACCGATGCAGTAGTAAATTATTGTTAGTTTGTGTGATCATTGGAGCTTTATGGACAGATACTGCCAGGGAGTCCAACCACTAAGCATGAGAACGATTAGGGTTAGGCTTCAGATTGAGACGCTGATATATAGACCACATTTTTCGCCATAAAAGTGACTATTTCTTTCTATTTTTCCCTATTTTTCCAATTATTTTTATAAAATTAAAATTTCCAGATTTTCGAGCCAAGAATGACGCATGCGGCACCACCGGTCACACTCAACCCTCATTGATCCATTTTCTTGTGACTTACTACTTCAAAGCTAATTCCCAAGGTCACTGACGACCGTACCCCGTATTGTATATAAACAGATGAGCTGCCCGATCTTTCCATATTTTCGGTCGAACTAAATACACAAACTCGCCTGAAGACCTATCTCCTCTCTTCTCTCTGGTCGGGTTTCGGGGATTGTACTGGTTCGTGGGGCGTTCTCTCGTTACTGTCCGGTTAGGTCTCGTTTGGAGTACCGCAGTCGAGCATACCAGGTATCGCTACTATACCGCTGGATCGTACGGTTCCGTTNCGCTGCTGCACGTATCGATGGTCAGGGCTCGTGTAGTCCGATCGTTTCGTTCAGCCCAAAGGTAAAACAGACGCCTACGCATATCAAACTCCCAATCTGGAGAACCAGGAGACTGAACTTTGTCTGACGTCTACCTATTGACCTTCCAGGCACGATTGGATCGATTGCTCGACAAAAGCCATTTTGTGTAGGTCGTTGAATCACAGAGGTGCAAAAGCAATCACACCACGTCAAGGTGCAGTCTCATCGTGATGGTCAGCCAACTGAGAGTACGCGAAGTGGATGGTGAATATCAAATCTGCTTAAGTATATCTTCATATGTTGATGAAATGATGAAGACTGATAGCATTAGCGGTGAGTAAAAA